GGGAACCTACACGAACACTTTGGCGCTTAAGGTAACGAAGGACTCGATGCCAAAGCGGAAGGATAACTATCTGAAATAATGAGATCTTCCAAGAAATGGGAGCAACCCCATATATATGTGGGGAAATAGCAACGGTTCGCCTACCCAAGTTAGGCCCCCAGGAGGCCAACGGCTTCAACCCGGGTTCCGAGGTGGTACCCGACCTCGAGGTTTCCTCTCAAGGAGAAAAATAAGCACTTCGAGCTCCGTCTATGAGGGCTCGACCTCAGGAAGTCGCCTAAATATGAGTAACCCCTCCTCAGAGACCTGCTTACAATACCTTAAAAGGTTATCTACATCAAGTTCAAAGTAAATCTCCAAGTACCCAAAGCTGACTTTCACTCAAAGGCCGCTCTCAAAGTTTCAAGGTTCGGTGCTCTATCTCCACGAGGGTCGAGGGACCCGATGACCCGGGTTCATCTAACCGTTTCGGGCTTGATCCGGGAAACAACGATGAGCTCGGAAAGGAGCCATTTCTATCAACCAGAGACCGGAAAGAATGCTCGCACCCAAGTTGGATATTCACGATCGTCAACAGATACATACATTCAAAATCCCTGCAAATGCACAAGAATATACAAGAATATGGCAAATATCAAAAGCAGAAGGAACGAAGATGTCTTTTAATTTCAAAAATATTAGCTTACAATGGCCGTCGAGGGATCCTTACATACAATAAAACAAGCCCGTAATGGGTCCTTACGCAGAAACAAAGAAGTAAAGGGATGCACGCACGTGGTAAAAGCCTAGAGCATAGTCTACTCTCGAAGGTCCACCTCCTGCAACAACGCCTCCGGGCACGCATCCTCAAAAGCCTTATCCCGGCCTTCCATGCTGATATCCCCAAAAGATAAGTCGAGAAGTAGGGAGGGATGAATAAACACCATAGCCCGCCAAAGGTCAAGGACCCTCACTGGCCAAGAGAACCTCGGAGAGACAACAGACTTGGCGAACATCGGCCTCGCTTGCACGGCTACTTTGAATCCTCTTCTTGGAACATTGAGCTTTGCAAGCTGCCATCAAGGGGGCAAAGTGCCACGTCAAGCTGGGGTATGAAGGTGAGCAGCGGTGTATAATCTGAGCCCCCTTGTGAGAAGCGGTATATTTTCCGAAGAACTTTTTAAAAGCGAGGAAAGTCGACCCCCGTATATCATCGTCTCGAGCCAATAAGGACAACGACAACAGACATAACAACAACAGTAGCGACAAAACGGTATAATCATTCTCTATAAAGGGGAGCTCAAGCAATAGGCCACGACACGACTTATCGAAATGCTGCCAAACAACCTTAAGGCCGTGAACGCCAAACATGGTGATCAATAATAGAGGAAGATGGTGAAGAGAAAGGGATGAATGAGCAAATGAAGACACTTGGATAGAAAAATAATGCCAGAACGCTCCCATTTATAGCAGATAATGACACGATCATCAAGGCCATTGGAAGACTGATCGGCTGGCGTAATTACTGCGTTCTTGAAAAACTGAATTGACGGCAGTACTACCACTTTGAAGAATAGGAATCGACAGTGCATTGAATGGCATCGAAAAGACAAGTCCATGGAATGTCTTGCTTATCGTGAAAATTCACTCCATAGATTGCATCATCAGTATGATGTCGTCAAGGTAAGCCCGATGAGTCGGGTATTATAATCGTTTCCCATCACTTCGTTCTGAGAAACGCGGAGACTATCTGTATGCGGCGAAATTAGANTCTCCATGCTTTTACAATTAATGTATTTTGTACTATGGCACGATTCCCCTCCTATATAAAGGGGATCCTCACCACTTTGTAAGGGGCTGCTGTGGTTCCAACTATTCTACACAAGATAAATAATAACTTTCTCTCTCTTTTCTCTCTAATTTACTCGTTCGAGACTACCTCTTTCATTTATTGCTTTCATACTTGTTTTTCATTTATTACTTGATATTGGCCATAAAGAGCCTCCTTCAATTATATACTAATTGTTAGTCCTTTTCCGATTACCCCCGATAGCTCGAGCCCGATCCCAGGCATCAACATCGAGGTGCTTCATCGGCTCGCCGAGGCACGGACAGATAGCCCCTCGGTTTGAACACAGCTCCTCTCTAGGTCGCGTTTTATCTTTTGTTTTCACTTATCTAGCATCAACTGCCCTAACAACTAGCATAAAAATAGATCACATATTTTTAGTGTCTCATTAAGAAATTTAATTGTTATTACCATTTTTACGGTAAACAAATAGCTTAATAAGTAGTTTCAGTAATTCCTAATCAAACTCATGTAGTCAACATAACCTTGTCATTTAGTCTTTTACAACAATAACAACTTATGTATACGGGTAAGACCGAGCCCATGGGACGCCTCAGTATCCGATGAAGTAAATTGAGCAAGAAACGTGAAGGCAAGGAACTGGAATCGAGGCAAGGAGCCCCTCGATCAAGGATCCAGGTAGAATACGTGCCCTCGAAAATCGGGGCCATGGCCCCAGGTCTGGTTCGAACCCCAAAGGTCTCGATGAGCATTACCAGACGATCGAGCACGACCAACAGAAGGCCGTGATATCCGCGACAGTATGGTTTAACTCTAAAACTCCGCTAGAATAAATGAGCCAACAATATTCAGATACAACACTTGCAACTAAACATAACACAACGTAAGTACTCCACACTCTAACATTCCCACAATTGTCTCACAATTGCAAGTCGCTATAACTTGTAAATATGAAAGTAAAACGCCTAAAACAAATATACTTTTCAAGGAAGATAAAGTTACAACTGAATAGCCTAATACAGCAGAACTAGACTGACTCATGTTACATGCATAATTTTAAAGGACGAGTACTTCAGTCTTGTTCTTCACACACTTGCTGAGTAAACTGGGATTAAGCACTTCAAGAGTATTGCTTGTTCTCATTATTGCACGAGCTCTCACTATGTGTATACACCTATCTTTCAAGACAAGAAAAAGAATAAAGAAAAAATGTGAACGGGGATTGGAGCTTAGTCAATCAGATAAATCTAGTAACTAAGGATTTCGGAGTCCTAAATATGGAAGGATCCTTATTCTGCGTGAGGATCTTTCCAAGATATACATACTACCATCGACAGTTGAGATCATAACAGATATTAGCACAACATTTTTAAATATCGCACAATAATATCTTTATTCTTTTACTGCAATTTACAGCAGTCCAAAGAAGTGACCAACTTAGCTTCTGTGACTCTGGCTCTTAGCACATATGCATTGCACATTTATTGATCATCAAAACCCATATAACTCAACACTATGAAAGTCATCAAAATACTTTAATCTACTTGATCCAGACTTGATTGCTTGCTATATTTTGAAATTCCAATAGGAGGAGAATATGCTCAAGGCACTCCATAATGGACTATGGTTCATTATGTACTAATTCAACCCCTTGTTTGAGTATTTGTGTTTTAATTAATATTTTGAGGCTTTGGATAGGTTGGTATAGGATTTTAATACTTGTTGGTGTGCTTTTATTTGGTCCCTAGGGACTCGAAAGAGTTTCACCGCATTTGAAAGAAGTTGAAAATTGCAGCAGCACGCTCTGATGCATGCGCCGTGTGAGCATCATGCAGGCAAGGCCTTGTGTACGGCACAACCATCACGCAAACCCTGCCTCGCGCTTTAGGCGTGCGATGCGCAGGGTATAGCATAGGGGAAATTTACAACTTAGTATAAATAGTTTGGGAAATAGTACTTTCTTTGTTCTAATTTATGTGGCACACTCCTCTTTTAATTTATTAAAAAAAAAAGTCATCTTTCTATATATTAGAAATAATTTAACTTCAATGTTCCAAATCACCATTAATGATATGATTTACAACAATACAAATATTTAAGGCTTAGTTTAAATCATAATTTAAAAGTCTTTCATTTTTTTAACCACTTATTAATTAAAATGGTGCCATATAAATCGGGACTAAGGAAGCATGAATTTTTCATATGGGTGATCTTGTCCTAAAAAATCAAAGCACTTATTTTATAATAGCTAAAAAAAAACTGTTTTTACTATCCATTAAAAGCATTTATTTTCTTACCAAAAACTTGACCACACTCCTTAATTCTCTAGAAAGAAATTTGGTGATAAGTCATTTCTTTAAACTCGTACCCTTTTTATTTGACAATCTTATATCTACCCTACCTTGATATTGTTTTCATATTCGACAAGGTGTTAGTTGAAAGGTAGATTTCAAGTAATTTAAGATTTATTCTGGATGGCCTACAAATCTTAGCCCAAGATTTTTTGCTGAAAACTTGGCCAATATTGTCCGTCAAACTAATTATTTGGTTTTCAGTAAACTTATGGGACAGATAAAAATCAAATAGAAGAAGACCACTTAAACATTTTGTGCAGAAGATGGATGTCTTCTCTGTGTATTGTGTAAACCAAATAAAAGGTAACTGCGCTTAAAAGAAAACAATAATTTGTCTAGTAGAGCGATCTACAAGATATCATACTACAGAAATAAATAAAAACAACAAGAATTTTAAGGTGTACAAATATTTGAACCACGTCTTTTAAAAAGTCATTAAAAGTAAGTTTCTTGCACTAACGTGATTTTATAAATTAAATGTATGATAATTAAGTATTCATCTGTCTCATATTATCTGTATATGCACCTAAAGAAAAATTAATTAGGATGAGATTTTGACTACTTTACCCTTATTCATGTCTTAATATTTTCTTCATTGGTATTTGAACAAAGGTGTTTGTAGTCTTCAAGGATAATTATTACTAAGGGTAAAAAAGGAAAAAGATAATCAATTTTGTGTTTAATTTCTAAAGTGACAATTAATTTGAGACAATTATGTATTTTTAATAACCACGACTGATAATATGAGACGAAAGGAGTAACATATTGTAATCAATTGAATTATATTGATAGTGTAACGGAACCCTTATATCATCAGTATGTATAAGCTAAATTTAACCTATAAATACGTACCATTAGTGGTTTTAGATGACAAATCTAATCAAGTAAAATTCTCTTAAGAATGTCAATGAATGAGAATGGATCCATTGATCTTCTCCTAGCTCAAACTCAAACCTGGAACCATATGTTCAACTTCATAAGCTCTTCAGCAGCAAAATGTGCAATTCAGCTAGGCATCCCAGATGTCGTCTACAAACATGGTAAGCCCATATCTCTTTCTGACCTCACTGCTGAACTTTCCCTTATCGACCGTTCCAAGGTTTCCTTCTTGCCAATTTTAATGCGGTTTTTAGTTCATTCTGGTTTCTTAAACCAACATGAAAATGAACATTACTCTCTTACCCCAGCTAGTCAACTTCTTGTGAAAGATGACCCCTTGAGTATGAGGTCATACTTTTTGATCATCCATGATCCAGTTCTTTTAAAAGCATGGTCTTGTTTAAATGATTGGTTACAAAATGATTCCTCCACTGCTTTTCATACTGCTCATGAGAAATCTTTATGGGATTACTATGTGCAAGAACCAAGAGTAGGTGATAGTTTCAATGAGTCAATGGCTAGTGACTCGAGATTGATTGCCAATGTTCTTATTACGGAGTGTAAACATGTTTTTGAGGGATTAACGTCGTTGGTGGATGTTGGAGGTGGCACTGGCACTGTGGCCATTGCTATAGCCAAAGCTTTTCCTGCCATAAAATGCACAGTACTTGATCTCCCTCGCGTAGTAGGAAACTTCAAGGGAAATGGGAATGTGGAGTTTGTCGGAGGAAGCATGTTTGAGAAAATTCCTAATGCTAATGCAATCTTATTCAAGGTACTTTCCAAATGAATGCGCTGATACTTTTCTTTGTGGCCGTTTATTTCTTCTCATTACGGAAGCCTCGCTAAATGATTTTCAGGAGTTATCTTTATTATTACTCCTTTTTAAAGTTGTTTCCTGTTTGAACTTCATCTTATTCTGTGATAATTAACAATTTCATGGTTGAGCAGTGGATTCTGCATAACTGGAGCGATGAAGACTGTGTGAAGATACTGAAGAAATGCAAAGATTCTATTCCGAGTAGGGAAGAAGGAGGGAAGGTGATAATCATAGACATAGTGCTCGAAAATCCGAATACGAGCAATGAGTTTGTTCGAGCACAGCATTATATGGACATGTTGATGATGGTTTTCTATGCTGCCAAACAGAGAACTAAAATGGAATGGGAAAGGCTCTTCACTGATGCTGGTTTCAACGAATACAAAATAACTCCCACTTTAGGAACAAGGTCTCTTATTGAAATATACCCTTGAAGAAGTTTTAAATTGAAATATACCATTCAATTGAAAAACGTTGAGAAATTCACTACCATCAGCGCGGTACCTTAATATTTTGAGTAGCATAACTTGAAATTTTATTTTAATTACCACTTCGTTGTTATTGATTGCTTCCAAAATGAATATCCATTTCCCCTTTTGTTATAGTGCACTGTTGCATTTCTTAATAAAAGTTAGAGACCCTCTAGGAGGTTAGAACTTTTAGAAGGAAAAAGATTGACAATTTCGTGTTCTAAAACCTGTCCTCAGAAATCTGCGCCATGGCCCCCTTTCCAGTTCGAACCCCAAAGGCCTCGTAGAGCATTACCATACGATCGAGCACGACCAACAGAAGGCCTTGGTATCCGCGACAGGCCGGATATCACGTCGTGAATTTCGGCACGTATCGGCAGAGAACCGGTGATTAGTTAAACAAAAGATTTTTATCTTTTATGGAATTGTACTTAGGGTAAAACTCTCCTACTATATAAAGGGGAGTCTGGTTATTCATAAAAATCAAGGCAATATACTTTTATTTTCTGTGCTATTCAAAGTTCTTATCCCGTTCATCAGTGCTTTATTATTGTGAGTCCGGAATCAAAAACAGGCACCCCGTTAAGTGTGTCACAAAATCTGGAATCATTCGTCTTAAAGTGGATTGACAATTTATTACGTCCTTTATCAGTTTAATCTAACGCAATTTATCATTTGTATTGAATTAATCCGCATATCCTTAAAATCACATATAAATTCAATTGTTATCCATTTTTTAGGGTAAATATTTTGGTACCTACCGTGGGGCTAAGGATAATAGTGGTAAACTGCATTACTCTTGTTCTTTGAGATCTTAATTTCTGGAAAAATTAAAGATGTGAAACTCTCAATCTGCTCACATAAACATTGATGTTGAATCTGGCCATCACGGCGAGAACACCAATATAGTGCCCAACAACGAGGTTCACCCTGCTGACCCCAATGGGGTCCCGATCGTAGATCCAATCGATGCCAACTCCAATGTGGCCATCGACGCTAACTTGTCCACCGATCCAGAAAACACCGTTCTGATGAAAAAGTTCGGATAGACCTTGTCAAAAGGAGATATGATATGGTATCACAACTTACCCCCGAATTGTATTGACTCGTTTGTTATGCTTGCAGATGCCTTTATAAAAGCACACGTCGGGGCCATCAAGGTTGAGACCAAGAAGTTAGACCTTTTCAATGTAAAGCAAAGGGGTAACGAGATGCTTAGGGAATTTGTATCGAGGTTTCAAATAGAACGGATAGATCTAGCTCTGATCACAGACGATTGGGCCGTTCAAGCATTCACCCAAGGACTCAATCCCCAAAGCTCGTTGGCTTCACAACAATTGAAGAAAAATTTGATAGAATACCTAGCGATAACTTGGGCTGACGTACATAATAGGTACCAATCAAAAATCAGGGTCAAAGATGATCAACTTCGGGCCTCCTCTAGTTTCGTTTACCCTGTCAGGACCAGTGAAAGATCCAACAGAGTCGTCGATCACGAACCAAGATCGAACAAATATCGGTATCAACCATACAATGGAGATAGAAGGAATAGTGGGTCCAGATGCAACCCCGCGAGGAGTGAAAGAAGGAGTAGTTAAGACTATAATAAACGAGGACTTATAAGCAAGAATAGTTTTGATGGACCTATCGGGTCCAAGGAAGAACCAATGTTATCGGAGTACAACTTCAACATCGATGCTACCAGTATCGTATCGCTATCAGACGTATCAAAGATACTAAGTGGCCTCAACCATTGCAGTCTGATCCTGCCTAGAAGTTTACAATCTAATGTGTAAATATCATGGCACCCACAGATACAGAAGCGAAGACTGTCGATCGACAACTGAAAGAAGAAGTAGTCCCGTTATTCAACAATGGACACCTCCGAGAATTTCTGAGTGATCAAGCCAAAAATCACTTCAGGAATAAGGACTCCAACAAGCAGACTGAGCAAGAAGAACCCCAGCACTTCATTAACATGATCATTAGCGGGGTTGACGTCCCCCAGGGGCCGATATTAAAGTGCACCAAAGTGTACATCATAAGGGAAAAACGAACTCGAGATTATGTGCTAGAAGTAACCATATCTTTTAACGACAAGGATGCTCAAGGCATCGTGCAGCCAAACAATGATGCATTGCTAATATCTGTTCTCATAAATAAATCTCGAGTTAAGAGTGTGTTAATTAATCCAGGTAGCTTGGCCAATATCATCAGATCGAGGGTCGTAGAACAGCTGGGTCTACAAGACCAAATTGTGCCCGTAGTCCAATTTCTGAACGGATTCAACATGGCATGTGAGACCACTAAAGGGGAGATAACCCTACCGGTGAATACCACTAGAACCGTTCCGGAAAAATTTCTACATGATCGAAGGAGATATGAGATAAAATTATTTTTTCGGGAGGCCATGGATCCACAACATGAGGGAAGTAACCTCGACTCTACACTAGGCATTGAAATTCACCACACCATGAGGACTTAAAATAGTTTATGGAGAGCAACCAGCCGAAAAAGAGTTGTTCTTGGCCGACCAGGTGGTCCCAATATCCGCACTCTCGACATCAAATAACCCGAGTTCAATCACCAAGGAAGAAACCATATAGCAATCACCGACACCATCCCCGACTGAACCGGAAAAGAAGGGGACGAGCGAGGATGGCGACTATGGAGTTTCCAAATCTTTCATAGCCCCTGACGATTCCGATGTTGCCAAGTTAACGGCCGAGGAGATAGAGCAATTCATATTGATCGAGCACCTGCCTGATCAGAAGGTATACCTGGACACGGGGTTAAGTCCAGAGCTCAAGAAAAACTCATTGCATTCATTATGGCTAACATAGATTGTTTCTTGGTCCCATCTTGACATGATAGGGATCTCGCCGGAAATAACTACTCACAATCTGAGCTTGGATCCGAAGTTTGACCCGATTAAATAGAAGATGAGGCCTCAGTCCGAAAACAAGTATGCATTCATCAAAGACGAGGTATCTAAGCTTCTTAAAATAGGTTTCATTCGGGAAGTTAAGTACTCAGATCGGTTAGAAAATGTAGTCGTAGTTCCTAGAAGGAGAAATAAATTGAGAATGTGCGTAGATTATAAAGGCTAAAACAAGGCATGCCCCAAAAACTCTTTTCCTTTGTCTAACATCGATCCCAGGATCGCTGCAACTACTAGCCACGAGATACTCAGCTTTCTCGATGCCTATTTCGGCTACAATCAAATTCGGATGGACCCGGATGACCAAGAAAAGACTTCTTTCATCACTAAATATGGCACCTATTGTTATAATGTAATGTCGTTCAGATTAAAGAATGACAGTTCCACTTACCAATGCCTAGTAAATTGGATCTTCGAGGAAGAAATAGGGAAATCAATGGAGATTTACATTGATGACATGCTAGTTAAGTCCCTACGAGAAAAGGACCATTTGGAACATTCGCAGGAAACTTTCAATATACTACAGAAATACAATATAAAGCTTCAAATATAAAGCTTCAATATACCTAAAACAATGCGCATGTGGAGTCGGGTCCGGGTAGTTCCTTGGATTTAAGGTTTCCAACTAGGGAATAAAGATCAATCCTAACAAGATCAAGCCCATAGAAGATATCACCATGGTGGATAATGTCAAGGTCGTTCAAAGGCTAACCGGGCGCGTAGATTCTTTGGGTCGGTTCATTTTAAGGTCCTCTGATAAGAGCCATCGATTCTTCTCATTATTGAAAAAGAAGAATAACTTATCATGGACCCCGAAGTGCTGGCAAGCTTTGGAAAAACTAAAATGGTACCTTTCGAGTCCACCTTTGCTTCATACTCTGAAGGCAGACGAACAGTTGTACCTGTACTTAGCGGTATCCCAGATAGCGGTAAATGGAGTCTTAGTTTAGGAAGAACAAGGTACGCAATTTCCTATATATTATGTTAGCAGGACCCTAGGCGAGGACGAAAGAAGATATCCACACCTGGAAAAATTGGCACTCTCTTTGCTAAGCGCCTCCAAGAAGTTAAGGCCGTATTTTTAGTGTCATCCCATATGTGTCATGACTACTTACCTATTGAGAAACATAATTCACAAACCCAAGCTCTCGAGGTGATTGGCCAAATGATCCATGGAAATTAGCGGGTACGATATTGAGAATCGACCCTGAACGGCCATCAAGTCTCAAATTTTGGTAGACTTCATGGCCGACTTCACAGTGGTCTTAATACCCGAAAAAGACATGTTATTAGCCTCGAGAACCTCCTCAAGGATCTAGACCCTATTTACATATGGTGCATCGAACACAAAGGGGTCCAGACTTGGCATCGTATTGAAGTTACCCTCAGGTAACGTAGTTAGGCAATTTTTTAGAACTGTTAAATTGACTAACAATGAGCTGAGTATGAGGCCATGATTGCAAGTCTCAAATTGTCTAAAATCCTAGGGGACGAAGTGATCGAAGCTAAATGTGATTCCATCCTTGTGGTGAATCAAGTCAATAGGACATTCGAAGTAAAGGAGGAATGAGTGTGAAGGTACTTGGATAAACTACAAGTAACACTGCATAAATTCAAGGAATGGACCTTACAACACGTACCTGGGACCAAAATAGCTAAGCAAAATTTATGCTAACATACTACTTTCATATAGTATATTAGCAAGACCCATATATATATATATATATATATCGAATCGAGCGAACACTTGCAGGCAACAACCAGAGGATGATGTCGTTGCTAGGCCTGAAAGCACGCGTTGCACTCTTTTTCCCTTGAACCGATTTTGTGCCAAATGGGTTTTCCGACAAAGTTTTTAACGAGGCAACAATGGATCGTGCAAACTTATAATCAAAGACCGATTATGAACCGGAGTATATGGTCAAGTCAATGGTATCCGAGCCCTTTCAACAATCAACCTTGAATACTAGGGGCCATCACCCTTGGATTATGATTTTTAGCAATGAATGATACTTTGTAATGGAATATTCTAGGCTCCGTGGATAGGATTTACTGTAAAGGCCATACAGTCAATTGAATTGTGCTCGCGTAGACCACCTAAGCCATAACACGAAGCTTGTACACACCTACAATCTTGTATATTATGTAGAAAAATGAAAGAAAGATTCTACCTTGCGAATACATATATTGTCTCTTAAGACTATTACATTTTGTTCCTTAAAGATATCAAGCCCAAGGGCCACCTCTATCCAAATTTAATAGATCACCCCCACTTGAGGACTGTCATCCAAGGAAAACTCGGACGGCTCAGGCTATCAAAGCCTGGAGGCACAGAAGCATATTTGGCAGTGCCCAAACTTGAAAGGCTATGACCATCCCCACTCAGGGACAAAGGCATGTTCGGACGGCTCAGGTATCGAAGCCTAGAGGTACACAACCTATTAGGCAATACCTGAATTTAAAACGCTACGGCCACCCTAAAAATGGCTTAGAGACGTCTGAATCCCGTAATCAAAACATAATGCCTTCAAAAACCTCTAAACAAGCATTTCGATGAAAGCTCCTAGTCATAC